AGAAATCTTCTCAAAAGTATCTTCATCTAGTCCTTGATAGACTAGACAACCTTCTTGTCTCTCTTCCTTGAGTCTCTCTAGCTATCCTTTTGAGCTTGAGAAAGACTCTCTACAGTTTCTGGCTCAATGTGACCCTTCTCGACCACCTCCCAAACATCATGTGCACCAAGGAGAGCTACCATCCTTAAGCTCCAATTGTCTTAGTTGCTCTTAGTGAGCATTGGGACTTGAAAGGGAACTCCATTATTTTCCATTTCTACGAAGATCTTATGGCTCTTGATACCACTTTGTTGGGAGGAAACTTGAAAGGCTAGAAGGAAGTGTTTAAGATTGAGAGAGGTTGGAAGATTTTGAGAGAAGAGGAAAGGCTTGTATTGATTGCTTCTAAATTTTTTTGGCTTGTTTTCAAATGATACAACCATCCCCTATTTATACTAATGGCACCTCCTTAACCAATGGTTAGGATCTTGCCACCACAACATTTATCTAAGTGTTATAATTTATTCTCTAGAATTTTCTAAAACATTCCTATAATTCTAAACTTATCTAGATATATCTTATGGATAAGCATCTTTAGATATTTTTTTTTAACATTCTAGAATCCTTCTATATAGGATTTTCTAGAATGCTATTTGGGCCTTTGCTAATATTGGATTTTTATCTTTTATGTTCAACATACAAAATCAATTTATATTCCAAGAGTACGTTCATGGGAGTGTTGCTGCTTCAAAAACACATAACAAGAAAAAAGCTTTTTAGTTTGTTATTCTCATCTCGATTGTATCGAAAATCTTCAAACGTTGGACCAACAGGTCAAACCACAATAACTTAATAAAAAAGAATCCATTCGAACTATATGTGTAGGCACTTTAGGAAATTCAATGAACTTTACCTTGTGCTTAAACGACACTTGCCATACCTAATCCTGGTTTTCGTTATACATATCTGCAAATAATTAAAGTTCTCCGTGGCTGAAATATACCAAAGTGTAATCTCTAGGTAACTTCTTTCTCACAGTCATTTTTTCCGTGGTACATGTTTCCCATTTGTTTTCTAATTAAACGTAATTGAAAAAATAATAAAATGATGACATCATTTCTTGAATTCGTGTACCCTCTTCACCTATAAAACCAAATATCACCAGCAATTAAACTATGCAGTACGGTTTTAAGCCCTAACTTAGTTTTCGCTGAAAGCAGACCACCTTATAACTGTTTACCATTCTTTGTCTTGGAGCATATAACCGCTGTGCCTCTACATTATGGGTAGATCACCGTGTCGTGAGGAGATTAGTGGTGTAAAGAAAGGACCATGGACACCAGAAGAAGATGAGAAGCTGATTGATTATATCAGCAAACACAGCCATGGCAGTTGGAGAACGCTTCCAAAGCGTGCAGGGCTTAATAGATGTGGTAAGAGCTGCAGATTAAGGTGGACAAACTATCTGAGGCCTGATATCAAGAGAGGCCAATTCACTGAAGAAGATGAGAGAACTATCATCAACCTTCATTCAGTTCTGGGAAACAAGTATGTACATGTCTGCTTCCTTCGTAAATTTACCTTAATTTTTGAGGATTTATATGAGAAAGGATGAAACAAATTTCTTAGCTTTTTTTTTTCTTCTAGGTGGTCGAAGATTGCAGCTCATCTGCCAGGGCGAACTGATAATGAGATCAAGAATTATTGGAACACTCACATAAGGAAGAAGCTTCTAAAGATGGGTATTGATCCAGAAACTCACAAGCCAAGGACAGACTTGAATCACCTCATGAGTCTTTCTCAGTTGCTTGGTATGTCAAACTTGAGCAGTGTTATGAGTAGTACTTGGGGCAATAACCATCTTGGTTTACAACCAGACATCACTCAGCTAGCCAAGATACAACTGCTGCAAAATCTTTTGCAACTTATGAACAGCAATTCATTTGTTAACATGGGTAACCCTTACCTCTTTGGCAATCCCAACCTCAACCCTTTATTTCTGAACGGCACAAACCCCCTCCAAACTAAGGAGCCTGTGGTGTTAAGTGGTAGTGAAAGATTTGCTAACCCTAGTGTGTACTCTCAAGCACAAAGCGAGTGCTCTCAGCAACAGGATGTTTCAAAATCATTGGCAGATGTGGAGGGTGGATCCATTCCACAAGATCTTGATTACAGCAAAATTAGCCCCACCAACACCAATCATTCACGTGAAAATCAAGAAGAAAACCCTCTCCCTGCATTAGTTGCTGCCTCTCCGAGGATGGGAACCTTAAACCCAATGGGCAGTGGTTGTGGTAACTTAGGACAATCGAGCGAAGAGTCACCTTCGAACACATTCTTTGATGATTGGGAGAAGTTGTTTGATGATGAAAGAAGCGGTTCCTATTGGAAAGAGATTCTAGAGTAAGACCCTATTCTCTATTGCTTTCCTTTTCTTGGTAGCTCTAGGTTTTACCTGCTTCCATGCACCTTGTGAGAAAATGTTATAAATGTCTCTCTATATATTTTAATTCATTTTCATGTGACACGAAGTCAAATATTTCAATTTACTAAAAAATTTAATTAAACTCAAACAAACATCATCTGAGGATTGGTGGGGTGGGGACTAAATATAATAGTCCCTAACATAGTACAATTTCTCTGAATGTTATCATAAAGTGTGTAACTTGATCAAAACTAAGATGTTATTCTTAAAATTTTTGTGTTCAATAAGTTATTCTTATATAATACTGATCTTAAATTTCCTTTCTATTTATTTTTATCACATCGCCAATAGTAAAATATTATCTTTATTTTCCTATCTCCCTTGCTGCAGAAAAAGTTATATAAATTATACAAATGAAGTTCTTTTCATTACGTAAGAAAAAAAAAACTATGAATACAGATTGTAACATTATATTATTTTGGTACATTTTAAGCAATTAGTTATAAAAGTGATAAGGTTTTCCATATATTTATTTACCTTGGCTCAGTTAAGATGATATTTTCCTTTTCATTCTGCAGATTTACATCCACTTCTGCGTCACCGATTATGTGGTAGAAGAATCATTGGTTCTCTCTCAGGTCGATCCAATCAATTCATGGATATATATTCCGTATCGTAGAGATACGAAGTTTTATTCATTCATGGTTTCTTTTTCTTTCTAGATTCATTTCTCTTTTAATAGAGTACATGGCTATACAAAACATACATACATACATA